CTTGTATGCTTGGGGATTTTAGTCTTCATTGCCATATTTTCCATTTCTAAACAGACTTGACAAAGCTTATCCCAGATAATAGGCAACTGTATATATTCAGACAACGCGTTGGTCAAAATGCGGTATAAATGGAAACCACAGAAACACACACACATTCACAAAAGTAGAACTTTGGTTCATAAGGTATAATGAAGGGAAGGAATTATCTGCCAGAATATGTGTGAGTAGTATTATAAAAACTCAGCTTCATACATCATACTGACTAAAATGGGTATTTGAAAAGCAGTAAAGGTTAAGGGAATATTAACACACAAGATTATGCTGTTCCAAGGCATCTCTGATCCTCAGGGGATTTTAGAAAACCCAGAAGGTCTATCTAAATTACATCAAAGATGGGAAGCTTAGAATTCAATGTGTAATTTTCTCCATAGGTGTGTAGGGTATTTTATGCATTTTTTTTTCTGTTTGGCTATTCAACCATGCGATTATGTCAGTCACTGATTGAATTACTCCAAGAAAATAAGATCATGAAATCTCCATTTGAAATTCTGCAAAACTATTGAAAGCACAGGTTTGGCGAATCTTGGCCAAGATGTTACTTCCTCCAAGACAACTAGGATGACTTTCTGAGGGATGTGCATTAATGCTTAGCCCCAGAAGCAATGGTATCTGTGGGTATGAATTAGACTACGCCTGGGAATAAATGCAACCCACTCATAGTCCAACATGAAGATTGGATATTAGGAAAAATTTCTTCACTGAAAGAGTTATCAAGCACTGGAACAGGCTGCCCAGGAAAGTGGTGGAGTCACCATCCCTGCAGGTACTTAGAAGACGTGTAGACATGATGCTTAGGGACATGGTTTAGGAGTGGACTTGGCAGTGTTCGCTTTACAGTTGGACTTGATGATCTTAAGGGTCTTTTCTAACATAAATGATTCTATGAAGAGAACAACTCAGACAAGTCAGGCTTGATCAGATCTCTGAGGCACTGTTTGTATGTGTTGCTTTGTCCTTTGTGAGGACAGTGCTTACATTTGAATCTTTTCAAAGTGTTTGCTGCTGTTCAGGAAATGGCGACACGCTACTGGCTCTGCTCAGGGGACGGGGGAAGTTGCTCTCTCTGCTATCGCCTTCTTCATGCAGCTTGTTCCTGAGTGACAACTGAGGAGCACACCGATTGGGCTGGAGACTAATTACATGACTGAATTCTTCTCAGGAGGAAATTACAGAATGATGGTCAGATCCAAAAGGTTATAGGCATGTGAAATAAATAGGTGGATTGCAGGAGCTCAAAGCTGCAGTCAAACAAGAGCCCCCTCAGAGGCTGCCTAATACTGGAGGTACTTGGGAGGACCTTCCCCTTCCAGCCTTCGCACCTGTCAGGCACTTGAAATTCGTGCGTGTCCTGACCTTCCCTCCTCCGAGCAGTTCAGTGCCTTATTCCTGCTCAAGTATCACCAGGCAGTCTGCTGCCCCACCGCAGCTAAATCTTGCAGTTATGTATTGCCCGAAAAAGCTTCATATACTGATAGTCCCGTTGTCACAAAATACATAGGGACACAGAACAGGAGAAGGCAACAATGATCATCATACCCTGTCATCCACCATCAGAGACAACCAGAAAAGGAGCAGCAATTCAGGGCATATAGGACTCAAGTCATAAAAGCTTTCCCATTGATGACAAATGTTAGACCTAGAGTAAAAAGACCAACATCCCAGCTGGGATGTGCCACATTTGGGAAAGAGAAAGCATTTGAGGTCGCACCAATGAACTTCATCCCTGCAGCAAGAAGGACCATCACTTAACATGAAATTCTCAGGTGATTCAGATGACTGCTCCTTCCAGCTCTACCTTTCTCACTGGCCGCTCTGTCCCAGTGGTCACTATGGGCTCAGGAAGCCTAACTCCCTTCTAACACCCTGGTGTGCAGGGTAGCTCATACTGCACAGGCATAATCGCCTGCTTCAGATCTCAGTTCCGAGGACCCGACTCACCCAGCCTTGCCACTGTCACAGCTCGGCTCAGCACTGGACTTGTCACACAGGACTCTTCGTTCAGAGGCTGCAAATGTAAAGATGTGCACGAAATAGCGTTCAGCTGCTCAACAGAAGTATCAGTCAGCCCAATCAAGCTAATCAAGGAAAATTTCCTTTCTGATCCCAAATTTGGTGATTAGTTTAACCTCAAGAATGTAAGTAAAATACAGTAAGGTGGTACTACAAGGGTTTAAGATCTCAAATCCATCAGCTCATCCTAATGCAACCTTACTCAGCCTACCTCTGCGGCCTCCCCAGTGCTGCAGGGGAGGGCAGTGAGGAACTGGAAACCTAAGTTATACGTGTTTGGGGGTGGAGAGGATAAAACAGGCAGAACAACCCTTTCCTTTACAAACTTTGCCAATGTCCAGGAGCAATCCTGGAATACAGGATTACTACAACAAAAATAAAATGCAAACAATCATAATCATATATAATCATATAATGGCTGGAAAGGACCTTAAAGATCATCTAGTTCCAACTAAATAAAATGTGAACACACAACAATCTAGTTTCAGTTTATCCTTTTTGGAATACTTAAGGACTTAACATTTCTCATTCTGGGATCAACCTTTTCAGCCTCAGTATAAACACTGCATATTCCTTGTTCTCTATCTTATTTAGAATACCTTTACTCTTCAGATGCTTATATACCATCTTCTAATTTCCTGTTTAAATTAGCCATGACCATTTTATAACTGTTCAACCTCGTACCATGACTTAAATTCCCTCTCCCAATATATTTATGGAGTCAAACTTCCACTCTCATTCATTTTTGCTTGTTTTCTTTCCAAACCTTGTTGAGAAAGCAAACTGAAGAAAGGAGAATGCACAGTGCCAAGGAAAGTAAGAGCAGAACAACAAAATTGCAGTCCTGTGATAGTGACATTCTTCTGGGAGTGGGTGAGCGAGAAGCTGAGCTCAGGGACCTGGGTGCCCAGGTCTCCCAGGACTGCTTTTGTATTTTACAATAAAGAGAGAACAGATAAAATCCCTGTATATATGCAGCTGTTTTTCCAAATGATTAAGCCTGAGGTCCGGGTTCAAGATGCAAATCTGCATGGTGACCTTACATGCTGTCTAAGCCCGTGCAGGTAGCAGGTGGCATTCTTTTGCTATTTCCAGATAGTTTTAACTCAACAAGTAGCAGAGCAGAGAGGTCTTTTGCCTGACCGAATTCAACATGAACAAAACACAATTGGCAGATTCTTGTCATATTGGTATTTTCATACTTTTTCCAATCTCCAGAGTGCATGCATGCAAACTATCTAGGTGAGATGTTCCCAAGTCCATATTGATTCTTTAACCAGGTCTGGTACACACATAAGAGTAAGGCCAGACACCAGTAGTGTGTCCCAGGTATTGGTATCGGGGCCAATGCCGTTTAATGTCTTCATTAACAACCTGGAAGACAGGAGTAGTGCAACTTCTGAGAGTTTACAGACATTACAACACTGAGGGGAGTTGATGATGCACCAGAGGTTTGTGCTGCCATTCAGAGACCTCATCAGGGCAGAAAAGGCCCTGGTAGTGCTGGTGGACACCAACTTGTTTGCAAGCAACATAGCCAGCAGGTATTGCCAGCACGTTGAGGGAGGTGATTTTCCAGTCTGCTCAGCACCAGTGAGACATCTGGAGTGTTGGGTTCAGTTCTGGGCTTCTGAGTACAAAAGAAACATGGACATAGCAGAGCAAGTCCAGCAAACTGCCATGAAGATGATAAATGGACCAGAACACCTGACCTACAAAGAGCTACCTTCAGTCCGGAGAAGAGGAAGTTCAGGGAGATCTCACAAATATGTATAAATACCTGATGGGGCAAGGGTGGAAGTACAGAAGACTGAGCCAGAATCTTCTCAGTGGTGCCCAAGGAAAGGACAAGAGGAAATTGGCAGGAAATACATGAAACTCCATACACACAAGGAAAAAAACCCAGACAAACCTGCAAGGGCAATCAAATGCTGGAACAGGTTATCCCGAGAGGCTGTAGAGTCTCTGTTCTTGGAGATACTTAAAATCCAAATAGACATACTCCTCAACAACATGCTTTAGTTGACCCTGCTCTGTGCAGTGTGGTTGCAACAGTAGTGTCTCAAGAGGTCCCTTCCAACCTCAGCAATTCTATGCTTCTGCAGTTGTGGACAACTTTACACAAGAAAACTAACACCACCACCACCACCACCACTACTCAAGACCTCGACATTCTATGAAGTTGAAAGCCTGACTAAAATGCTTTGCACTCTGTATGAAACAGTAACAATCAGGGCACCATTTCATCTTTTGTGGAACTAAATTTCTCACTTGAGCCTGGATCCAGTAACTGTTAAAGAAGCTATGCCTACATACTTTTGACTGGGGACCCACATCTCCATTACATCAGCGAACAGTGGCTGAATTGTACCTTTAATTTCAAGACAGAGGAAAAAAACGTGGTTCTCTTGCATCTGTGACAATAATACCTTATATTTAAAAGTAATAGAGGAATGAGACAACTGCTTTCAGACTTACGATGAAGCTGACAGCTTCTTTCTTTCCTCAGATGGACTTACTCACCTAAAAAGGATAGGAAGAAGGCCATAAGCTACACCAACATTTTAAACAAAGCTCAACCTGGTGGACAGAGTCTCACCAACACTTATCTAGCTTATGGGCTTGATCTGGTAAGCCCAATTGTCAGTCAAATTTTAAAAAGCCAAAAGGTTTTATGTACCTGTAAAGTTAACATCAGATGAGCTGGGATTCCAAGAATTTCAGGAGGTGCTCAAAAATGTGGTAGGTCATGAAATTTTGGGTTTAGCCACAGTTATCAAATCTAGAGCTGTAGTTCAGGTGCCCACGGAGAGATGAACATCATCAAGTTTATGACTGTGTATCAAAGATGGCAGAAATGTAAATATTTTACGAAAAGATTTATTCAGTAACAGGAAAACTTTTAGAAACCAAGTCCTAGCCAGACTGAGCAGAATTAAATGTGCATTGAAATGTGCAGATTTGACAAGCCATTTGGTGTACTAAATTATCTTGCCAAAATAATAGGTGAGGAAGCACGGTTTTAAGTCTTGTTCATTTACTTTTTTTACTTCCATGGAAGTCGGCTCCTGGAAAAAGTATACAAAATTAATTGATACATTTGATAGAATTGCCCTTTCAACCAGCACTGTATGCATGGACTGTAACTCCAGATGTTACAAGACGTAATTTTTCACATTTTTTTCCTTTACAAATTAGCATTATAGCGATCTCTGTTCTGAAAGTCTTTATAAGCACGTTTTGCATCTGTTTTACTGTGCGGGATTCTTCCAAAAGGTTCCAGATCATTGAAGCAGGCATCAAAAACTTCATCCACAGCTTTTTCTGCCGTTTCTTTGCTAACTTTTCTAACAGCCAGAATGGAACGAATTGCTCTGTCTCGTACACAAGTCTAAAGTGGGAATTAGATAAAGAAAAATCTGTCAGTATAAATATTTTTTTCCAGATTTTCTCAAGTATTAATTCCTACTACATACGCAATAATTTTGTAACACAGAAGAGTCAAACAATGCCTGTAATAAGCATTAAGGCATGCTTTTGTTCCATCCTGTGTTAAGTACATGGTTTAGTTTTCCACGTGCAAATAAACCGTCAGAGAAGTAAAAGACATTCCTTAGAACAGCAATTAAAAATACAATTTGGCATTTGTTGCAGGTATCAAGTATTTGTACAACTTGACTCGGCCACAAGTGAAAATATGTCAGAAAGGAACAGACATAAATACCAGTTAGTACTTTTCCAATTGAAATGCTATAAAACATAAAAGGAATGACTCCTCTACTTGGCCTTCATTTTGACACCCGTTTCCATGGCTACTTTTGCTTACACAGTTTGTCTACCAAGAGATAAAAAAAGATGTAAACATTTCCATCTACAAGCTAACTAGCACTCTAACATGAGCAACTACTTGGGACTCAACCTGTAGTCTTCATTACTATTAAAAAAATTAATTCCTACAAGATTTAACACACATGGTGATTTAGAACTCTTGTCATTTTCCTTCCTCCAGTTTTCATAGACTTTTTAGAGTTTTACCCACTACATTTCCTGCAAACCCTGGGGTTTTTTTGGTTCTTATTAACCATCCATTGTCAGTGATAATATTCTATGACAAGACTAAGTATTCAGGAATTTCACTCCAACAAAAATAACACGGTGGAAAAAAAAATTTACCATGAATCACTAAAGGTTATTAAAGGTTAATTAAGAGAAAGCAGCAAGCCCACGGCATCTACTTCTTTCTCTGATGTCTTCAGCTACGAAACTGTCAGAAGTCCAAGATCAAGTAGGTAAAGATGGCTCATAACAAAACAGTAGACTTTAACACCTACAGTCTTTACCTGATGGTGTCCTTTTAATCCAAACTTAAACCTGGCTATTTCATTCATCAGTGTACAGTCTCCACTGAGATTAGCAGCTCGAATCTGTTGAGGAAAAAAAGGCACACAATCAGAGAAACACATGGAAATACAAAGTCAAAACAAAGCTGTAATAAATTTTTTTCTTCAATGTCTTTCTGGTGATTGCTGGTAGAGAATATTCCCAGGGCCACTTCTACTTATTAAGTACATATTACCCTTTATATCCACCTCCCCAGCCTCAATGAACTGCAAAGTATTACTATAGAACCTGTGAGTTTCCCCAAGGACCAAGTCTCACATATTCCCAAAGCTTAAATGAATGAGCAAAAGAGATTATATGTATGTACACATATAATATGAATTGCTAAAAGAACATGGAAAGTAATACACTCCCCAGCCTGTATCAGAAGTTGATACAAGAGTCAGGAAGAAAGGCAGATACCTTTCAAAGGCTACAGCTGCAATACCCAGAAGAGCAGTAACCCACCTAGTTAGGAAAAGCCACATTTAAATGAGTATGTGTGTTTTAGCTTGTTAACTGTCTTGTCCTGTGCACTGTAATTACTACAGCTGCAATACCCAGAAGAGCCGTAACCCACCTAGTTTAGGAAAAGCCACATTTAAACGAGTATGTGTGTTTTAGCTTGCTAACTGTCTTGTCCTGTGCACTGTAATTTCTTTTGTCTGCCAACTGTTCCACACCCTCAATTAGGAAATACAACTAAAACTAGATTTCCCTTAAGTACCAGAGTGAGAATAAATGCACGGAAAACATGAAACGTAAGAATTAAAAAGCTGGCAATAAAAATTGTAAATACCATATTATGAAATAAGTATCAAAAGACCTAAAGCAAACAAATAATCTCAACAAGAGCAAGAACAAGCACAATCTTGTTTTATATATGTTCTCTAATTTTATTTTTGAGGCTTACATGCTTTATTCTGCACTGTGTAAATGTTAAGGGCTTAGACAAAAAAAATACTAGATGATAGTTAATAATTCTGAATTGTTGTACTGGGTTTACGTGGCAAGGTGTTGGCCGCAAAGGGCCTGCTGGGATGGCTTCTGTGAGACAAGAGGCTGCCCCCATGTTGGACAGAGCCACTTTCAGCTGGCTCTAAAATGGACCTGCAATGGAGTATTTAAGAAAGGATAAAAAAAACACTTTGTGGCAGTTGTGAGAGACAGCAGTGAGGAAAACATGAAAGAAACAGCCCCACAGACACCAAGATCAGTGAAGAGGGAGGGGGAGGAGGTGCTCCAGGCACCAGAGCAGAGATTCCCCTGACAGCTGCGGAGAAGACCATAGTGACACAGGTTGTCTCCCTGCAGCTTGTGAAGGAACATAGTGGAGCAGATATCCACATTGCAGTCTGAGGAAGACGCCATGCCAAAGCAAACAGACATGCCCTGAAAGAAGTTTCAGCCCATTTAGGAGCATGTTGTCTAGCAGTAATTGTGGCCTGTGAGGGACCGATGCTGGAGCAGTACATTCCTGAAAGACCGTACGCTGTGGAAGGATCCAAGCTGGCACAGGTCTTGAAGAACAGCAGCCCATGGGAAGGACCCACATTGGAGTAGTTCATGAAGGACTACATCCCATCGGAGGGACCCCACATTGGAGCAGTAGAACAGCGTGAGGAGGAAGGAGCAGCAGAGACAAAGTGTTACGAACTGACTGAAGCCCCCATTCCCCATCCCCTGTGCCACTTTGGGGGGAAGGAGATAGAAGAGTCAGGAATAAAGAAGCAAAGTTGAGCCTAGGAAGAAGAGGTGGGGGAAGGTATTTTTAGTTTCATTTCTCACTATCCTACTCTGTCATTAATGGGCAATAAACTAAATTTAACTTCCCCAAGATGAGCGTATTTTGCCCATAACAGTAACTGGTGACTTGGTGGTGTCCTTATCTTGGTCCATAAGCTTTTTAACTTTAGTTTTCTCCCCTATCCTACTGAGGAGGGGGAGTCAGAGAATGGCTTGGTGGGTGCTTGGCAGCCATCCAAGGTAACCACCCCCCCCAGTTATACAGGATGGCTTTACTGATACCACATAAGGTCACTTCATTAAGTTTTATTTATAGAAAGATAAAGATAATACATGACTGTGACTCTCTTCTACAGCAAATATGAATTCAATTAATGAATTAAAATTAATTTTTATGAAATCGGATTTGTTCTGTACCAAGCTCACCATTTTGGTTCTCTAACTTACTGTTTATAGGTGAAACCTGTGCTCATCTTAAGTCTGGACTCAAATACGTTCTCGTTAAAAATAAACAAACAAACAAACCCACAGCCAAAAAAAACCCCCACCCAAACCAAAACCACTATCATATTTTTATATCATTTTATATATTTTTAAAAAACAGTTAAAAAGCCACCTAATTCACACAGTCACAAGAATGTACTTTCATAATATTAATCATAAGGGTAAGTTTTTCTGTGGTCAAATGATAGAGATTACAGCAGAAATCAACTTAAAGCATGTGAATATAGTTGTGAACACAAGAGCAATCTTTAGTAGCCTGTGCTCAGTTTAATTTCACCTCCTAGTGAATCAATGTTTAGGGCCTTTCAAGCCGCAAATTCCTACATCCTCTGAAATGGACATGGAGTCATAACTAAAGTGTACTATTAGCAACATCACCATTAACAAAAAAAAATGTATGTTATAGGAAAACACAAGTTTGTTGTTAACCAAAAAAACCTAAATAAAAATGAGGTTACCATACTACTGTGATAACTACACAACATACCAAGATTTGCAGGGAAGAAAGAGAACCCTAGAATGTGTTTCCATCTCTAACTACTCTCATTTGTTAATAACCACTTCTTGTTATGGTTACACTCACAGTGATCAAATTCTACTTAGTATAACACTGACTTATTAATATTTGTGAAAACTAAATATTTGTTTTCTGAAGGAAACTGTTTAGGTAGACTTGACAGAAAGGACAAAATGTACTAACAGGATTAAACCAAATGAAGTCCATGTAACAGCATGCCTATTTAAACATGAAACATCCCTGATAGCCAGCAGTAATGAATATAATGACAATGTTGGAAATATTTTAACTTACCTCGGAACATGCTAAGTGTTTAACATTTTTAAACCAGTCAACATGTGCACGGCAGTGATCAAAAGCATGAATCAATTCATGTGTGACCACACGGTTCATATGGGATTGCTGGCGAATGTTGTTCTGACACAGAACAATCTGTAAAAGAAAAAATATAGGTAGTCTTTTCACCAAGTTTCAACATCACCCTTACTTCTCAGAGACCTAGCACATACCACCTACAGCACTTAGATTCTGTAGATCAATGTTTTTCAACATTAACAGCCTCATCATTCTGCAGTGTACTAGTTCCAATACCATGGAACATCTTTCATTTTTCTTATTGTCATGACTTGAACTCAGATAACAGCATTAGTAGATTTAACCCTAGTAAAAAACACTACAAAAATTGTAGTCATTTGAAAGAAGACTGTCCAGTGCCCACCTGAGATGTGGCAGAATCAAAACCTCCACTGACACAGCCATCACAGTTTTCACACGAGAAGTGCCGGTCATTGAAGACAGTGCTGAAAGGCCCAAACAAAGTTATACGGAAAAATTTAAAAGAGACCAGTAGTTCCATATAACAGTGATGTTACTACACAGAACAAGATCAATTAGTTTACATACCAACCAGACTGCTTCATAGCCTCAAGAAGAAGTTGAGCATATGGATCTAGAAAAATATTGCTGCAATCAATTTCTCTAGACAAAAGTTTTGAAAGTCATCTATAATCAAAATATAAAGACAGTCAAGGAAAAAAAAAAGGAAAAGCACTACCTGTGCAAATTCATACTTTGCAGTATTTAACCCTAATGCAATGCAACTGGCATCTATTACAGCTCAGGCTCTGTAAAATGATACAGAATCATGATATATACAAAGTTATTCAGGAATCACGTCACTTCTGACATTATTAGCAGTAGAGCGGCCTATAGCAATGACTGTTTTCAGTAACATTCACAGTCAACATTACACAGTGAAAAGGGCACAAGTGAACAACAAATCCTGTCAAATTTTCAAGAGAAAGAAATAGTGAAGAACCTTCCGACAGGAAAAAAAGAAAGCACACGGCCACTTTTGAAATTGCATTTTCTTTGTCTTAACCAAAATCAGCGTGGTCATCAAGCAGCACCCTCAGCCCGCCGACTGCTCGGGGGGCAGCGGCACCGGGAGAGCACCTCCCGCCCCGAGACCCTACGGCGCAAGGTCACCGCCGCGGCCAGGCCGTTCCAGCGGGGGACACGGATG